CAAACGTTTCGAAATACACTTAATACAGCTTCAGCGAAATTTGAAAATAATGTTATAGTAACATAATTATCCGCACTATTTGAAACAATCGAATAAATGTAAAAAATAAGAAAGTACAGATTAAACAGATTATCTGAGTTGTAGTGTCTTTACAATCGTGCGAGGGTTGAAAGTTAGATTTCAAAGTCATGAGTCATACTTAACGTCAACTTGTTCTCATGTTTTCAAGCATTCAGGAATATAAATAGTTACTAAGGTCAAACGACTAATTGTTTTTACATATTGTTGGATAAACAAGACTGTTTAGTTTAAAAGTTATAATTTAGTTTATTTAGTGATTTAATAGTTAATGATTATTTAGTTTTCTTGACAAGAGTGTTGAAGGTTGATTGTTTTAAAAGCGATAGTTATGACAAGTTTCGTTACTTAACTCGGTACGAGTCATACGTTGTGTATGCAGTTTAATTATTGTACTAGGCTTTAGTAATATTATGACGTCATCTTACTCGAAGCTTCCACGTTTTTCTAGTTATGTGTAATATTCTTGCTATTAAAGGATAGAGATTTCTAGATTATTCTGTCTCGTGTTATAATTATGTGCAGATACAGAAATGAACTAAAGAAAGCAAGTTCAGTGAGTACTAATTAGACAAATCTAAACTTAGTACTTGGCAGTTTAGTAATTAAGTTAAGTTAGTGAAAGTGAAGATTGTTAGTTTGGCCTTAGCGGGCGATATTTTAAAGTGAGTTTCACAGTGGTATTGTAATAACAGAGATAAAGGAGAATAATTTCTTTTGTAAAAGGGTGTTCTAAAGTAATTGAACCCACCTGTGTGGACTTTGATGAAAAGGAGACAACTGTATAAAATTCTCGATACAAATGTGGTAATCCAAGGGGTAACGTAAGTGAATCTATCGCAATAAGAAACAGAGTAGAGAAAAATAATTCGTGTTGTCAATTGAGTTTTATAGTAACTGAACTAGCCTGTGTGGACTTTTGACATGAAAAGGGAATTATTTAAAGCTTTAGATACAATTTTGATAACCACTAGTGAAACAAACTTTTGTACATACGTTTGACTTGTTTTGAATATATTGTTTTAAAACAAGTGGATTGTGAGCTGTCCGTTTATTGTTGAAATTTATCGCCAACAATTCACAGACACCTACTGTAAAGAATTCCAGCCCTTCATACCCAAAACCTGACACACACACACACACACACACATACTCATATATATCTATATACGTTTTCACTAGTCAATAAGAATGACAAATTGGGCTAAGTAGTCCACAATTGTTCACAAATTGGGCTAAATATCACGCGGTTCTTTACACGATGGGTTACGTTAACATAACTGTTCATGTGTGGGACTTTGCTACACACAATTCTTCACAGATTGGGCTAAGCAACACACAATTCTTAACAGACTAGGCTACACAACACATGATCCTTCACAAATTGGGCTAAACAACACACAATTATTCACAGGTTGGGCAACATAACATATGATTCTTCACAGGTTGGGCTACGCTACATGCAATTCTTAACAGTTGTGCTGCATTAGGCACGATCCTCATAGGCTTGACAACACAATTTTTCATATATTGGTTAAACTACACAAAACCACTACGTACTAATGTGGGTTGCTGCACGCCCTCAACAATCCGTGAGAAATCTTATGAAGCAGTCACTTCATGCTTTTCTTTCAAGACTTTGTTTTCATTCGAAAGCAAAATGTGTTCATGTTATTGCCTGATATAAATCAGTTCATTATAAACATACAGCGTTCTTCATACATTAAAAATATACTAGTAGTTAATGTAAACGAACCACGTTTATACTGGAAGGGCTACTGACAGATACTGTAAGTAAACTACGTGTTCTTTGTCAAGAGTAAGGTTAATATGGATATGGCAACTGAGGGGAGGACGGTTTGTGATTTGATGAAAACTAAGGTCACATTATGTCACAAACACATCGAGGTAGTTATTTAAAGTCAATGTTTCGTACTTATTTAAATTGTTCTTAGATTGTTATAATATACGTTGTCCATAATTTTCTTATGAGGTGAAGATTTGTTATTTTGATAAAAAATGTTCTAATGTTCTATGATGTAACAAAAACTCCGTAGAGCTATTATATCGTGTTCAGGATATGTAAAATACGGCGTCTAGACAGGCCAACTGAGGGAGTGGGGAGGTCGAGGATGTTTCCCCGGGGTGTGCCGCCTGTCAGGGAGCCCAAGAGAGTGTCGAAGATGTATATGGAATGTATCAAATCAGTACGGAACGTTTAAACAAACATTAACCCGCGCCTTCAATTACTTGCGTGTATTTCCAAAAACTATTTAACGAAATCACTGTAGGACGAATCGTACAGATGAAGAGCGATTAACCCTTTGTAATTAGTATTGGTTTGTTTTACCCACTTTGTTTGTTACTTTGCTAACAAATTTTCACCTTGAACTATGCAACATTGTTAACACACAATATACATCCTGGATCGTGCAACTTTGTCAACATATACTCAACACACACGCACATATGCAACAGTCATATGACTTTCTAATAATCCGCTGGGTTTGGGGAGGGGATTATAGAAAATATAGAGTACGTCCCTGACTGGGAATAAATATTTTTTGATAGTTCTATAGAAAATAGAAGTCCATTCTCATAAAGTTTGTGCCATACAATTCTGATTCAGTGCCATAAATAACGTCGTGTTTAGAAGCTGCTGCCTCAAACTCTTATCAATCTCTTATCCATAAGAATGCTTACAATATGTGGCTGCATATTTTATATAATCCTCACTTTCTAACTCACTGTCTCATCCATCAGTACACTTGCAGTATAAATCTGCATATTTTGAATGATCCCCACTTTCCAACTCACTGTCTCATCCATCAGTACATTTGCAGTAAAAATCTGCATATTTTATATAATCCTCACTTTCTAACTCACTGTCTCATCCATCAGTACACTTGCAGTATAAATCTGCATATTTTGAATGATCCTCACTTTCCAACTCACTGTCTCATCCATCAGTACATTTGCAGTAAAAATCTGCATATTTTGTGAAATCCACACTTTCTAACTCACTGTCTCATCCATCAGTACATTTGCAGTAAAAATCTGCATATTTTATATAGTTCTCACTTTCTAACTCAACGTCTTATTGATCAGGATACTTATTCGCAGTAAATATTTGTATATTTTCTATAATCTTCTTTCTAACTCAGCATCTTATCCATCAGGATACTTGCAGTAAATATCTATATATTTTACACAATTTTCACTTTCTAACTCAATATCTTACCCTTCACGATAATTACACTATATACCTGTATATTTTATATAATTCTCTCTTTTTAATTCAAAATCTTATTCATCAGAATACTTACTCGCAGTAAATATCTGTATTTTTTATATAATTCTCACTTTCTAACTCAACCTATTATATTTGGTAATAAATAGGGTATACAGCTTTACTGAACACACGACGCACATTACTCATCTTGTCCTTTTGTTGCTGAAAACAATAATAACGGTTCTGCTCTGATACTGTGTAAAAAAGAATCAATTGAAAAAAATGCAAAGTCTTTTTTTTCTTTTTGAAACTGTATTAAAATGTAAAAATAATTCTGAGCAGTAAAAGTCAGAGGTAAAATCCGTATATGTTAATTGGTGAAGACCATATAGCTTATTTTGTATAAGTCTAGAAGTTCATCATTTTCAACTTAGTGAATCCATAAACTGATAATTTTAAACAATAATTTATAAAATTATGTCTTTCATTTACTGATTACTGTTGTTTCTAGATATACGTATAACAACTTTTAATTGTCTATATAATGAATAACTGCGTAATCTTATTTATACCAAGAAACCTAGGGTTGCACAAGTTAAAACATGCCTTTTTGGTAATACTTTGTTTGTTTTTGAATTTCGCGCAAAGCTACACGAGGGCTAACTGCGCTAGCCGTCCCTAATTTAGCAGTGTAAGACTAAAGGAAAAGCAGCTAGTCATCACCACCCACCGCCAACTCTTGGGCTACTCTTTTACCAACGAATAGTGGGATTGACCGTCACATTATAACGCCCCCACGGCTGAAAGGGCGAGCATGTTTGGTGGGACGAGGATTCGACCCCGCGACACTCAGATTGCGAGTCGAGCACCTTATCCACCTGGCCATGTCGGGCCAGGTAATACTTTAAGAGTAAATTACTTAGTTTACCTGAGCTTCAAAAAGTGTAAACTGAACCTAAGCAAATTCCGAGCAGCAAAACACACCAGAAAACATGCGAACGCAAGAATGTTTAGACTGATGTATGTTTTATAACCTGGAAACTCGAGCGTTTCCGGATGGTTAGGAAGATCTTAGCTTCCGAAAGTGTCAAAGTTATTGGGGTTCTTATTTTCTGATTAATTTTATTTATTTATTTTTGTCATGCGTGGTTATTAGTATCACAATTGCGTTTTAAATCAATAACAATTATACAATGTAATAAAAATAACAACGTGGAACTTGTTAATCCGTGGTAATTTTTATATGGTGCTAGTTCTCACTATTGGTCGGTCTGTCAGCCATTTTACATAAAATCTTACATTTCAGTTGATGTTACAGTTAAGTAGTACTATTTCTACAGTGTATCAGTGCAACAGATCTTTTCAAAATGGTGCCCAATTCTACGGAGTCCCTGAGCGAGGCAATAATTCAGTTGTGTCCAGTCCTCCTTTTACAGCAGCGAACCAAAGAATGTGATGCTGGAAAAGTTAATTCTTCTCGACCTTCCACCGCAGCTAGTAAGTCAGTAGTTTTATTGTATTTTGAGGGTTCTATTCAGAATGTGAAAATATCGTTTTTAAGAGCTGTTATTAGTTTGTATTTGTGTTGTCCCAAACCACCAGTAGGTTAAAACTTCATTCTAAATATATATATATATAAATATAAATAGTATTACTTGTCTCAAATTTGGAAACGTCATCCTATTTGTTTCCGTAACTAAAGTTTACAAGCTTTGGTGTTTATGTCACCATGGTTACAAACTGTTACCAGTTTATAAACTTCACTCTTTATGTTTCCACAATTACTGTTGGCCATCGATTTATACAACTCGTTTATTTTGTTACTCCCTCTACAGTCTGGGGCTTTGGAATCCTTTTCGTTACCCTGATTAGTTGCTGTGCGCTCGGAGGAATGATCCTTCTGCCTCTAATGAACAATCACTTGTACCATAACTTTATCACACTATTTGAAGGGTTAGCAGTGGGAAGTTTAGTAAGCAGCGCCGTCTTTCATCTCATTCCGCAGGTGATGTTTAATGTTTTATTCTGGATTATCTTAGTTTTATATTTCATCTCTCAGATAGAGATTATCTATTTTTATTTACCAATATCTATCTGATTCTGGTAGATAAGATAACGTTTCACCAAGTTACGGTTAACAACGTTCTTAAGGGTTTTATGCAAATTTAGGATAGAAAACGAATTGTGTGTTTCAATAAATGCGTAAGATCCTTTAACAAATTAACCATCATCAATAGATATGTGAACTCTTTCTAAACCTAAGCATACATAAAGGGTGATTTTGCCAGTTAACAGACAAGGTGTTTAATATTGTATTAAGTTAATAAGCTTTTTAATGTCGTTTGTATCCGTTATTTAGTCTTTCGGAATTCTTAAAAATGATCCTCACCATTCCTACTTGTGGAGAGCTTTGATCATCTTCTGTGGAATTTATCTTTTTTTCCTTACTGAAAGATTCATGAAGTTCATCAACAAAGCCAAAACAGTAAGAAACAGTAATCTAGCTATCTATTTTTAAAGGTAGAATATCATATATATGCTTTTTTAGAACTGCAACGCTTCAGTGGACGTATTAACTGTCTTCGTTAAATGTTCAAAAACATAGAATGTAGAGGTAATTTAGTGTTGATCTTTATATTTACTGAGTTTTCAGTATTTTTTTTTAAATTTTTATTCAGCGATAACAGTCCTGACACAATGTATAATATGTAATATTATAGCAGTGGGAAGTTTAGTAAGCAGCGCTCTCTTTCATCTTATTCCGCAGATGATATTTAATGTTTTATTGTGGATTATTTTAGTTGCCTGTTTCATCTCTTAGACATAGATTATTTATTTTTCGTTAGAAATATTTATCTGATTATATATTACAGAGTATATAGCATGTAACATATATATATGTATACACATATAAATGATTGCCCTTTATTGAATTCATTCTAATGTATACTATCATTTAACTGAAAAGTATTAGAGTAAACGTTTTAGGGTGTTGAAGAGAAATGTTTATATTTTTGTTCGTGAAATAAAAATATTTTAAAGTATTTGAATACTGAGCCACAATATTTTAATGTATTTTTTATGACTGACTAGTCCATTATTTTGAGCCAAGTGACATTGAAGTAGTTAATGATAATCATAACACAGGCCTGTGTATTTAAACTTCATAAAAGTGTTGGTTTAGTTTTAATAACGGATTGTCCATAATTCAGCTACGCAGATGTCGAAAATAAAATTCATTTTTTTTTCTATCATGTAAGAATTTTTCACAAATCTGAAAAAAACAACAACTCTTACTTAGGTCAAATTTACAACCAATTTACCACAAATATAACAGAATATGTTTGGGTCATTTACACAACCTCTTGTTGCCATAGCGACGAATAAATAATATTGAAAAGAAAAAATAATGCCAAAGTGCACGCACAAACAAATACTATCCAGAAATGACACGTCATGCAGCCTGTTAACCGTTTCTCGTGGGTTCTAAAACGATCGATAAGACTCTCACGTCGCGATCGGTCTAGAGAAATCTATAGCCAGTGGTTGTCAACATTTTAAGCATAACAAAATCTGACCCGATTTCACTGAAAATGATCCACTTATGTAAAAGTACATGTGACTTTTTTTGAAAAATATGTACATGATGTAGAAAAATTGATATACTTTTCGGATTCAGCGTGCGAGAATTACTGTAGAACATGTAAAAATTTAAAGACAATAAAACCATCGCAGGCCTGTGTAATTTATGATAATTTTTAATTCAGATTTATATAAAATTTTGGATTAAAGAAACGAAAAGTGAAGAAATCAACGACTCGTGGAATGGAATCTAATATAAATACGTCAGTGACCACATCAGACAGTGTTACAGCTTTCGGTGGTAATATAGCGACGGTTGCGGTATCTAACGTCAATATCAAGAGTATAAACTCTGTGGACCCTGAAAACTCCGAAGTTGTAATTAAAGAAAAAAACAATGGAATTTTGGGAAATGAAAATATATTGGTAAGTTTTGGTGGTTAATGAGACATTTTAGATTATTTTTGATGTTAAGATGATCCGTTCTTATGTTGATTTCTGTTAATTAATGGGTCAAGGTATCACTTCCGCTTTTCGATCGCCACAATTTGCTGGTTTATGTCACTAGATGGCAAATAATGGTTGGAGACGGCTTGAATGGGTAATGAAGAAAAACTTTAATATAAGTTTAACATAACAGCAAATGTACAACATTTCGACAAGGTTTTGTCATCATCAGGTGATGTTATGTTAAACTTATATTAAAATTTTCTTCATTACCCACTGAAGCCGTCTCCAACCATTATTAGTCTCAAAGTGGGTTCCTCATCATCGAATATGAATTCATCACTAGATGGCAGTTCTTCTGGATGATTGCTTGAATCTTAACTTTATCATAAAAAAAGCAATGCTGAGGCAACAGTAATTAGATATTTATATGTTTGTCACTAGCTAGCAACGTTGGTGAAATATAAGCACCCTATGACAGCTGTGCTTGTATACTGATTATACTCTAACATTTTTGTAACCGATTTAGAGTTTTACATGAGATTGACATGAATTACGTTTTCTTTTAAGTAATTATTGTGATATTTTTAGCGTTTTATTATATCTTATGTTTTAGATAGATTCATTTGTAATCTTAATGTAGATGTCATCCCTCCTTTCTTCAATTCCACGGCTCTTGGTGTGCGATATTATAATTCATTACTGAACGGATGTGTTAAATAATATTATTTTCTACTAGTGTGATAACAAAGTTACTTTAAAGATTTCAGCAAGTTTTAACAGCTAAAGAGTACGCCGTTTATTTTCACTCAACACTAGGATTCTGTACAGTTTCATGGAAAATGTACTTCTGATAAATGTTTTGTATCCAAAACGTGGTGCAGTTAACGGTTTCATGTTATGAAATATGTGCATATCTTCTTCTTTTTAACATTTCTCACTTAGTCAGTATTTACTGATTAGTATAAAAGCCCGTCAAAAATGATGGGAAACCAAAGCCTACCAAATCTGAACCCTCCAATATGCATTTGCAACTTTGCTGCCCGTTAACATACATAAGGAAAATAGAGAAATCATGAAAAATATATCCTTTACCTAAGGAGTGTAAACATGCTACATATTGGTGCCTTTGGACAAAAGATTAAAACATTTTATGACCATGTGATTACATACACACCTGTTCTTCTTCTTCTGAGAAAAAATCGTCCTCTTCCTTACTGATAATTGATATCTTCAGTCTGTTTTAACAAAGGTTTTTCGTAATAATTCCCAAGCATAGATTTGCGCTAATTTTTTACTTATTTTTCACAGGAGTCGTCCTAGCATTCCTATTCTGATCCTACCTAGCTTGACGTCATAATGATGTGGTGTCACACACATAACGCCATACCTGATCTGATCCTGGGAACTTCCTTCTGACAGGCTTTTATATAACAGAAAAAGTTCCAAAATTTAGGAGCTATTTACGCCTATTAAATTCAGATAAAATGAGAACGGGCAATCAAAAGAGGAAGTATTATAGGGAAAAAAGTGGAATTGGACTCGTGTAACTCACGAAATTCGGAGAAATAGAGCATGACCGACTGACTGACCGACCGAAACTTGGCTTATATACAGTATATATATAGATATATATTGATATTTTAAAAGTTTTCGCTTTGCAGTTAAGCTATTTTATTTAAACAATATCTTATCGTTAGAGCTTTCTTACTTTAATTCCAGCTAATATATCGTGATTTCGTCTATCATCACCATGATAATCAAATTTGTGGCCTTTCCCTATTTTTAACTCTTTTAAGATCATTATCACCACCGACAAATTCACAATGCTAACATATGCTGTATAGTGTCTTTTGGAACCCCACTTATTACTGTCAGGTACAATGATTCACATGTGTCATAAGAGTTTTAGCATCAACTTTTCGAACGCCATATTCAAAAAATAATGTTATAATTATTTTTTGAATTATCTTCACCATTTTAAGTCCCAGATTCATTATATATATGTGTGTGTTTTAACTCTATCAGGATTATTCATGCAGCTTCTGGCTTCAAATCCTTTATGCGTGTTGTAACCATTTCAGGCTTAAGCTCTCGGTTATGAGATCCAGATTCCATACATATCGTCACCGTGATAAGCAAATTTATGGCCCATATATATATTTTAAATCTTTCAGGATCATCACCACGACCATCATATCCACACTGAGGAGGGTAGAGTTATCGGAACCATAGCTTGGATGATCATCTTTGGGGATGGATTACATAACTTTATAGACGGACTTTCTATCGGAGCAGCTTTCACTGACAGTATCCTCTCAGGCATTAGTATATCTGTAGCAGTATTCTGTGAAGAGTTGCCTCATGAACTAGGTGAGAACATCTCCTGGTGCAGAACATGATCAATAATAATGGGTGATCGAAATTTGATAAACATTTGTTGAAAAATGTTTAACATTGACAAGCAATACTTATGATAGGTTTTACTTAAAATTAATATGATAGAAATTTTCCATTTTCGTCCAGTCTTAAAACACATGCTTACTCCATGTTGTAGAAATGTTCGTACAGATGAAGGAGAAACTTTCATGCGCCTTTTAGTTATTATTTGCAAGTATTGTGTTAAATCAAATATTTGTAGATATACTCTTTAGATTTACTTTAAAGGAACATAAAGATTTATTAAACATTACAAGTAAGTTTGTTTTATTACGTGAAAAATCACCCAATTGAGAATAGCATAGCCAAACAAATCAAAAGCGTAACTAGAAGTACCATAGGCTATATATCAGATCAGTGAAAGTTCTAACTCAGAAATTCAAAAGAAGACTCCACTATAAGGAGGTTAAAGGAATAAACAGACGTACTTTTTCATAAAACTGGGCTTCGACTCCGATTTAATGAATCTAAAACGCGTATTAAAGTGAAATATATGTTTCATATCAAACATAAGAAAAAATATCATGCAGCTTATAAAGTGCCCCCTATAACGTTTCTGTATTTATCACAACACACTGTATATTGATAAAGAGCATTTATTTTTCAGGAAATTTTGCACATGTACTGATTGCGTTATTACGTTTTTTTTGTCTATATTTTATCAAAATCCGTGCTTTTAAAGAATATGGCTACCCTAATGAGGCTATAATTTCACTGCACAAATTTCAGCAAAATTTCTTTAGACATATGTGTTAAATGTCAGGGCAAAACGTGTTTGTTTCAAAAATGTTACCAATATACCGAGTATTTGAATGTTATGTGCATATCAACCAAGTCTTTTCTTCTTCTTTTTTTTTAAGGAGATTTTGCCATTCTTCTGAGTGCGGGAATGACTATGCGTCAGGCTGTGTTTTATAATTTTCTCTCCGCGTGCACCTGCTATCTCGGGCTTCTCTTTGGAATCCTCTTGGGTGATTTCACGGAAGGAACACCTCACATCTTTGCTCTTGCTGGCGGAATGTTTTTATATATCTCTTTAGTAGACATGGTAAGTGATTTTGGTACATTACTCAAGCTGCTATTATTATTGTAGTTGAATAGAGCGATGATGGGAAGTATATCATAAGGCGGTTTATGTCCATAAGTCTGTTTGTTTGCCTATGACCAACTACTTTCAATTTCCCGATCTTTTTAATTTAATCACCACGAATCTTTAAGGAGTTACTGAATAGCTACCTTTTCTCTAGTCCAGTGTTTCTCAGTCGGACTTACCAGATGACACCCCCCCCCG